CCTCGCGGCTACTCGCGATCGTCCCGGCGATCTCTCTCTCCTCCGCGCCGCTCCGTCCACCCCGTTCACCATTTTTTTTTCTTCGCTCTTTTCCCTGTCGTCTCTCACTCTCCTTCCCGCCCTCCTTCTCTTTTATCCGGGTCTCGTTACTCCGACGGGAAGGAGACGAGAGGATCGCGCGAACGCTCTCCTCCTCCGGCACACGTGACCGTAAGTACGCTTGATTTACGCTAAAAGCTAGCTCGGCCCCGCGTTCAGTCTTTATCGAAGGGGGTAATGCGATGATGATGGACGACCGACGATTTGTAGAGGCGGATTGCGCGCCGGCCAGATATATGCGCGCCTCCGCGGAGCCGTGATTATTGTAACTCGATCCTGGGACGCGCCAGGTAGAAAGCGCAGGAATTTCGTGAGCACGGGAACCGGTGGACCGATCGCCGGCCTGGAACCCTCCGGACACCTTTCGATTACCTTCTAACAGTTTCGGAGGAGAGACCTGAAAGCGATTCGATTTTTACAGCCGGTTTTCGTGGGGATAATACAGGCGCGAATCAGCTCTCGATGCTCTTAGGGCTGCGGACTTGTGATTTAGGCGAGGCGCTGCGTCTTTGTCAGAGTGCAGCGCTACTTTTCCATGTAGTTGCTGGTCGAGCTTTGTGAAGATGGTGAATTATTTCTTGAAACAGGTAGTGTTTGTCACGATTCCTCCATTGTTCTTATTGATTGGTTAATTCCACTACACTTGAGTTCTATTATATAGCTTGAAATTAATCTTTAAGGCAAAAGTATTTCAAGTTGGCTTACCAAGAAATATAACATAGATAACAAGTGGAAAGAAATTCACAAAATGCCTAGCACAATACTTAATGTGATTTGTAAATATTACAATAACAGTGATGAGATTGAATGATTTTTGCTGTATACAAGGTCAAGGGTTAATACTAGACCGAACTCACAATAACCTACGAGATACATCCGAAAACAGCATAAATCGATATTAAAAACACTGCCGATTCGCAAAGCAACTAAAAGAGTTACTAAACGCTTCCCATATCACCACCAGAAATACATCGAAGAAACGGTTCAAAAACCAGTCCGCGCAAACCGGTCCACTTCGAGGGAACAAAACGAAAAGCGACAGTCGTCGCAAGCCATTCGTTGAGTCGTGCTCGTCGCGAATTCCGCTCGGACTGGCAAGAAACGCTTTCAACGATAATGACGTCGCAGCAGAGCAAATTCGGTTTAGTACTTCCTCGAGAGTAGGCCTCGAGCGCCGCGAGTGGAGAAGCCGAGGCCGCGCCGCGGCGCGGACGGAACGAGGCGCACGTTTCCACGGAAACACGCGAGCGTTCCCCGGAGGCTGCATGCAAAATCGGGCTTGCGGAACGGGGCGAGGGGGTGAGAGGCGGGCACGTTAATCGACTCGTAAACATCGAACACTCGTCGGCGTGATTTCTCGAAGCGAGGAAATGCTCGGCCGGCCGCGGCGCGCGCGCGCGACCTTTTTTAACGGTGCGGCCGCACCGCGCCGCGCCGCGCCGCGCCGCTCGGATTACCATAACCGATCGATTACCCCGGCCACTCCACTCGAAGGAGTTTCTCTCGCGAGATGAAGACGTTAAGCTAGGACTGCCTGCAGCTCGGAGACCGGCATCGCTGTCACGAGGTGCACGATGGACGTTTTCACACGTCCAACGGCGGCCGCACACGATCCACCGCGTTTTTCTGCTCGGCTGTCCCTATCGAAACGCTCGGATCGGTTTGCTGCGACAAAGGAGGAAGGAACTGATATCCTGGAGGATGTGGAGGAAGGATTGTATAGTTTGGTAAAGAGGAAGTAGAGTTTAATAAGATTATTGTGTTTAATTGGTATGATAGAATTTTGACGGCGTTTTTCTGTTCGGTTGTTCCCATGGAAACTCTCTGATCACTTTGCGACAAAGGAGGAAGAAACTGAGATCCTGGAGGATGTGGAGGAAGGATTGTATAGTGTGGTAAATTCAGAGGAAGTAGATTTTAATAAGATTATTGTGTTTAATTGGAATGATAGAATTTTGACGGCGTTTTTCTGCTCAGTTGTTCATATCAAAACGCTCGGATCGGTTTGGTGCGACAAAGGAGGAAGGAACTGATATCCTGGAGGATGTGGAGGAAGGATCGTATAGTTTGGTAAATTCAGAGGAAGTAGAGTTTAATAAGATTCTTGTGTTTCATTGGAATGATAGAATTATCCTTTTCAGTGGAATTCTTATTGCTCCGCGTGGAGTTAGAGGAATATGGAATTGAATCTAGATTACCTATAGATTGAATTTATTGTTAATGCAAGAGAGAGGAAGAGAGAATTTAGTTACTGGTACGACTAGTTACAATCGAATAATTCAGCTGTAATCGGATCGGAGTCATTCACAAGAAAGTTTAGGATAAGATTGTTATTGTTTTGAATAGAGTTACAGGAATATAGAATTACTTCTAAACTTCATACTTAATTTACCAATGAACAAAAAGAGAACAGGGCGTTCATCTGTCTACTATTATAGTTAATTACCAGTTCAATCACCCTAACAGTCCATCCGCACTCAAGTTGCAATCACACGAAATTCTATCAGACCGAAATCCTCCATCGAGTGTAAAATAAATCTAAAGAAGCGCTTCGACGCTTCAAGTAGCCCGCTCCATTCGTCGAACCAATTATCCTCTAATGAAATTTGTGTACAGCTTAACTGGAAGAAGTGGGGTCATTGAGTACGCGGTGAAAGGGTCGAAGATCCAGCCGGGGTGAATGAAATCCCCGGCCGAGGCCGAAAGTGCATTAGCATTAGCGCCCTGAGAATTCGCCGGCCTGGCTGGGCGCATGCCCACTGGCGTCGTGCATTATTATCGCGTTACCACGTAATCGTCCATGCGGCTTACACCGATACGAATTATCACGGACGCCCGGGGCGGCGTTTCGCCTTTAGGCGGGCTTCGAGGTGTTGCGCGCGTGTTCATCGGCGCCGAGCGAGCCGCGGCCGCGTCTTAACGGCACGTGTCACGAGCGTGTGATCGCGCGCGTGTCAGCGTCCGTTCATCCGCTTCTTCTCGGAACGAGGGAAGCGTCGTTAAAGCGAGACACCAGTTCATTTGCATCGCTGTCGAATTGAGTCGTCCGCTCGCTTCGGCGATTCGCTCGTCGACTCGAAAAGTGACAACCTGTGTCCATTCAACGCGTAACCGTACGTGGGAAGAAAAGAATCTCAGCTGCAAATTGCTCGTCTGAACAATTCGGGACAGAATAATCTGAGGATTAACCCCTTGTCCTACAACAACGAGTTAGACTCGTGGTGAAGATATTCAACATAACTCAACAAATATATATTACTCAATCCATTCGAAATCAAAGTAAATATCATTCCTCTGTAATCGACTATTATACTTAAAAGGAAATACAGGCATAACGTATGCTTAGAATTTGTCTCTTTTTCCAATAAATTATTAATGACAAAGCAGTCGACCAGAGTTGAGAAATATATCATAGGCCAAGGGGTCAATACTATAACTACCGAGAGTTCAACTGACTCTCCGTAATCTCTCTAAACTCCAGGAACACACCTATCTAGCTTTCCACTGATTTACAATTCAGTTTCCGTATTGACAAACCAATTTCTTGAATTTCTCCGGGAAAGGTCTATTACCCTTTTAACAATCGTAAGCAGAGTAACTCAGGAGTGTCAATATCCTTTAGAATAATTCACAAACTTATCCATCTTTTCAATCGAACCAACCCCGTATTACTTCATTAACTTCCGCTCAAACTGAAATGATACACCGGTATTCAACCAAATCCCCATTTCCTCGAAGACTCCACGCTCCAAATGCGAGAACTTCCGCAGTCCGGCGTCATCCGCGAAACCGATGTCACCTCCGGCAACGGAGATTCATTCCTCATTTCGCGTTGGAAGCGAATGATTCGAGAACACTCCGAACCTCGAGAAAGAGGCCCGCGGGGCGGGCAAGCGAGTAGAGCGAGCCGCTCGGTATAGAATCGTACGATCTCCGAACAACGAGAGGAGCCTTGTAAACCAACATCACTCGTGAACCCTGATTCCAAGCGATACGACGCGACGATCTCCGTCGCGTCTACCCCGGTCACGATTAAGACAATAAGATTTTACGATGTCCCCTATTTCTCCCGGTTATCCGCCGTCGGATCGGCGAAACGTGTAACGAGACGATATTACATTTTCATCGGGCTACACCCTCGCCGGGGCTTCTTCTTCTTCTTTCCCCCGGTTTCGCAACCGAAAAAGATTCGAGCCGGCGATGACCTACTCTACTCGATAGTCAGCGCGCCGCTAACACAGCCGATCATTTAATAACTTACGCCCCGGCGAGAGATTACGATCGTCGGCGTACACGGCGAATACGGATCACGGGCCTGTAATCAAATGCTGTTACCGACTTTTATTACGCCGTTAATGCGACTCGCGCGCGCGCGCGGGGCCCGTTTCCTCCTCCGTTCGTGTCTACAGGACGTTTCGTAACGCGAGGGAACCGCTCCGAGGACGGGCCGCGTAAAAACGATAAGGAAAAGTCCGTACGAAACTCCTGTTCGATCTCCGCCACCTCGTGCGATCGCGGAGTCTCGATCGTTTCACGTGGGAATCGCAGCCGTTTCGCTCGGATATAGTTAATGTCGTACGAAACGCGAGGATGGACGAGTTCGTTCCGCGACGGGAACACGGATTCGCTGAATTCCGACGGCGAAGACTGCGATTCGTTGTGCTCCGAGATTCGATTGCTTCTGTGAATTGTATTCTTGCGTAATAATGTGGCGTAAGTCGGGGATTGATGTGGGATAATGAAATGCGAGGTGTAATGAGTTCGCAGTGAAATGGAATTAGAAATTGTCGTGCATTAGCATTGTTTCCCTGTTTCACACTGTTACACTGATACTTGGTATTCGTGTTTAAAACGCAAGATTGCAGGAGAGGGTAATTAATCCAACGATTTTCTGCTTGCAGGGCACGCGGACGTGGACGGCAGACCTGTTCTCGAGTTCGAGGACGTGCCCGCTGCCAGGGAGGCCCTCTGCGCCAAGGATGTGTCATCGTTTCTCCTCTACCTCGCCCGTTTACACAGGTGCGCATTATTCTTTCAATACTCGACGACGGAAGCCGTTAAGAATCGCTGAGGTGATTCAACTTTTACCTACGAAAATTCGTAAACAACAAACTCTATATTAACATGCAACACGCAAAGATCCATCTACTCGCGTCCAGAGAGTGAAAGTACCGGCGAAAAAAGGGAAACAGGAACGGCTCAAGAGATCATTCAAAACGATCGAAGGTTAACGAAGCCATAACATTTCGAAATTGCAGCCCTCGCGAGTCCCTCCACTTAAGCAGTTTCACGCTGCCATTACCGGCGATCCGCGATTTCCCATGAAAATCGAGCGCGCCGTAATTCAACATTCACCGCCCAATCATACTCCGCGGCGGACCGAGTCACTCCAATTCGTCCCGAGCGACGGGGAGAAAAAAGTATCACTGTACCCGAAGCTTTCCTGGCCGCGGACGCACGTATACTTATCGCCGGATGGAAATTCTCGGTATCCCTTTCGCGTTACGAATTACGCTCGGGGACGGACGATTTATTACGGCCGGGTACGCGGATTTCCCCGCGATCATCGGAATAATGACTGCAATCGGCCGCCGCGGAATTGGCAATTTGTTAATCAACGCGAACGATGGAAGAGCGCTCCGGCGCAGGGGTTGGGGGGAGAACTGCGGAGCAACGGGTCGCTTTCCAACAAATAAACCGGCCGGACGCCAGGTTTCCGTAATAATTATAATTTTCCCGGGCCGTGACGTCCTCGTCACGCCCACTATAATCACAGACGAGGTGCAAAATCGCGGCCTGCGCGACGTGCCGGCCGGCAACTACGAATTTCCTGCGGGTCGTATCGGTTGCGCGCGCGCGCGGGCGCGCGGCGAGCGCCCTACGCCGAACGAGAAACGGCCGTTAATTAGCCGGCGTGGGTTACGGGCGCGCGTTTTTCTAATTAATCCCCGGGGCCGGCCCCTCGCGCCGACGGCAACTAATCGACCGCCGACTCGAAAAAAATCGGATGCGCGTTCGGTAATTGCAGTGTTCGTCGCGCGATAATTTAATTACCGAGATGTACTGGCACGACGTGTTATCGTCGGCTTCAATTGATTCCACTCCCCTTTCCAGTTGTTGTTCCCTCGTGAAGCGCGTCGGAGGATAAGAGGACGTCGCGCGGACCTCGCAGGATATTACAGGGTCAAGGGAACGCGACTGTCAGAGCTCCTTGTGATTTTTCATTTGCGTTTTTAAACGAGCCTCGCGTGGGAGCGTTACCGTTGCGGAATAGAATGCTTTTGTGTTAAACGGTTACGTACAATTGCGAACGTGCGTTCGTAAGTGGAATTATTTCGAGTACTGTATAATGAACAATTTAATTGCGAGATACGGAAGCTGGTCGAGTTAACGACGCGCTTGTAGGTAAGTGTGGGAAATCTGTTGTACGATAATGTTGTAGCTTAATGAATATTAAAAGATACGATAATGATACCGATTACTCTTTGATTATTCAATTTCGAGTTCGGAATTCTGAAAACTCGATATTGAATTTTTAGGAAGTATCGAAGATCTCACGATCTACCGATTGAAACGTTGATTTACGTTCTAGCGGCGCATGATCGATGAAATTTCTAAAAATAATCAAACCACCGGCGCAAAAAGAGTCCCGTAATAACATGCGCAACCCGTGAAAGGCGACTCGGGTATGGAAATTGATTCGATCCCGCTAGCGCGCATTGAATATGATCCCATCCCTGGCGGCGTTCGTTCTGCGGGGTGTTGAATAAAACCGCGCGAGCGGGGAGGGAACAGGTGTCGCCGTTCACCGATCGAGGGAATTTCTTTTCGAGCCCGGTCCCCGGCGGGACGGCGGGGAATTTTCGATCGTATCGACGCCGGGGCATTAAAACCCTGTGTTTACGGCGTCCCTGTGTGCGCAACGGCAGGCCTGAATAAAAGCGCGGCGACGAGAAAGGCGGTAAATCATGCGCCACTTAACGCGTCGGAATAGAATTTTGAATAACGATCCGCCATTATCGTGGCATCGAAGGAAAGTGAACACACGAGGAAACTGAATATATTTCACATTACATAATATGCCCATTGTTCGGAGAAAGTGCATATTTCATTGATAAGAATCGGGCATAACGCCAATTTATTTTATTGCTATTCCCCGCCGGCCCCGTTTATCCGCGCCGCTCCGCGCCGCCGCGTGTCCCTCCGATCGATCTCGGGGCCCACGTCGCCGTTGCCAATTCCGCGACGCTGGAATGCCTCCAATCGCCGATTCAGCGATTTCCTCGTCGAAAATGAGCCGTGCCCGACCGATATTCCTCGACTGCACCGTGAAACAAGCCGATTTTCCGTGCTCCGGAAAATCTTGGCAGAGCTCTGGGTTTATCGCGTGGCTAACGAATTGCAATTTGGAGGGCCTTTTGAGACTGATTACACTGATTTAGAGAACCCCTTGTATACGAAGGACACTTCGAATTTACTAGATCGTTAGAATGTCGCAACGTCCGTGGGTAACTGGGAAATTGATTAACACGTTGAATCGATATAGACGACATTGTTCGAAATTTAACGATAATTCACAGGTAAATTAAGCGACAAAGCTATTTTATTTAAATATCCCCTATAGCAATACAAAGTTCAATTTAAAATACTAAATATTCAACTTCATAGTTTCGCTGTATCAATCAAGTGGTGACTGAGTCATCTCTCTAGTGCAAAGGGTTAAAACATTCTAAACAAATATGATTTGTCACACGTATTACAAAAAGTAACTGTTCAAACTATCTCTTGAATGTCCGCATTTCTACGATCTTCAATCTTCAGTTCATACCTTACACATTTCTACCTGCATTACCACAGCTCAAGCAAGAAGCAAAAGAAAACTGTCACCGCGATACGTATCTCTTTTGATCGTCGTTTCCTCGCTCGACGAGCTCAGCTCCGTTAACGCGTCAGCCCCGGAAATCGCAGAAAAACCCGCCACGGAGATCGCGCAACAGTAACCTCCGGAGAGAACAAAATATATCTCCGCTCTCCGAGACGGCGGTCTAAGTGGCGCGCCGAAGCAAACCATCCCCGTAAGAAGACATCGAAATCCACCCACTCGGCGTCAGAAATAACCCTCCCGAAGTGTGAGCCGTGATCGTAAACACCCGGACGCTGCGGGAGTGTGTTTCGTTTTTCCTCGCGCTCGAATCGGATCGCGATTAAGAATCGTTCCGATGCGGCCCCGATCGGAGGACGGCGGAGGAGGGTTGGCCGTGCGCGCCCGGCGAACCCTCGGGACCGAGCACCGATCGTAAAGGATGCGGCCGGCCGGTGCGCGCGGTGGCCGGGAGACGTCCCTGGCTCGTTTAGCCG